AAAAAAAAAAAAAAAATCTGAAGAAGATAATGATTTTGCTCCTATATTGCTGCCATAAAAACTGCATAGACATTTCCATATAGCTAAACTTGAAAGAGATTTTCTCTTTCTTTTACTTACTTAGAAATAAATTTGATTCATTTCAATAGCATTCATTCATAGGGATAGGGCTGCAAGATGGCAGTTGTAGGGCTCCAGGACTTTCAGTGGGACATTTAGCCCAATTTTTGCACAGTGACTTAGGAGTAATTGAGTTTGGTGGACCTGGCTCTCAAGCATGCACAAACTGTAATCATGTAGGGCAATTTTGTATTCAGAGTGATCACACTGGTGAGAGCTGATATTTTATTAATCATATGATGCATCTTAGTATTTTCTGCAACTCAGGGAAGACAGTCTCATCAGCTACAAGGCCTGCGCTCAGAAGACAAGCGAGGGTGGATTATAGCCTTGAGACAACAACTGAAGATCCTTGGGTGAGAATTTCTGACTGCATCAAAAGCTTATTTAACCCCAGCATGGCTGAAGAAAGCTGCACCTTAAACGTGCATCATGGCATCAAAAACAAAAATGGCGATCCAGCCTTGCATAGCTCAGGAACAGTCCTGCAGCCCTCAGACACAGAGGACAGTGATCCCAAAGTTTCTTCTTTGTCAGAGGAAGGTGACTTTGTGAAGAAAGGTCCACCGGTAGCACCAAAACCAGCTTGGTTTCGTCAGAGCCTCAAGGGATTAAAGAAAGGAAATTCAGACAGGACATCTCTCAGAAACAGCAGCACTGACCATCAGAGCATGTCTGACAATGAAGTGGGCTCCATTTGCAAGGTCATCCGGACATCTCCTAGAGGATCATCAATAAAGCAAAGAATAAGCTCCTTTGAAAATTTGGGCACTCCTCAGTCTCCTGAGAAGGGAACTAGAAAGCTGAGTCCAAAGCTGTCAGTTCAAAAAAACCAAGCTTCTAGTAGGCAGGATTCCAAATCTGCTACATTTGATCCTAACCAAGCATCCACCAGTAACATTGACAATCAAGGTTCTGAAAGCACTCACCTTCCATCATCTCTAGAACAAAGTCAAGTCAAGTCGTCGTCTTCCTCTGCAGATCAATGTGCTCCGATTCCAAAGATGAGCAACAGCACCCCCACTGACTCATCTTTGAATTTTCCAGACTCACAAAATACAGAGTCCAACCCACAAGTCACAAAAGCACAGAGTCAACGAGCACGGAGCTTTCCACTCACTTCATCTCAGACATGTGAGATGCTGAAAACCAGCGCTGAGGGAGAAAAATATAGCAAAATCTATTCCATTAGCAACCACTTCTTGTCAGCTTTGATGAAATCCTTAGATGCCTTTCCTCAGTCTCCTCTGTGTTCCAGGAAGAGCCCTGGAAACTCACAGGATGGGATTTCTGAATCCTGCACAGAAGAAAACAGGATTGCTCTCTCACAAGCAAGAGAAGTTCAGTCTATGGACACTGGCTTTTCTCTTAAGTAAGGTCTTTCTGTTTGCAATTTTTAAATGTGTATTTCTTTCCAGTAAAAAGAAAAAAATCCCTTTGATTTAGCTTTTGCTTGGCAGTTTAAGTAAACTTTTGTACAAATTCACATATAATACTAAGCTATCCTGTGATTTTGTTTTTTGGCTTAGTATGATGCCCCCACTTACCTATGTTGGTGTAGTGTTATTGGTAAACTAGGCCCTTTAGTTACGTTCAACAAATCATGGTTTAAAAAAATCTGGCTTAGCATGCTGCACCTTTCAAAGTTTTATCCACAGTTTTACTCACAAGGGAAAGTACGAAGTCTTGTTCAGGCCATCCATGCTAAGGATAATGGGATGTTTCAGACCTTCTCTGAAAAGGTAGAATAATTTGAGAGCCCTCAACTTTGGAGGAAGAGGTTAGACTTCTAAATGCTCTCCACCTGTGGCCCTTGCCTTACTGATGTCTCCAATGTTACTAGAGATCCAAAAGAAGCATTCTGTGAACATCTCAGGAATTAGGAAAGGCTATGGGCCTTGCAGATTCTCATCCACCTTTCTGAAACTGAAAAAGAATTATTGTTCTTCTCTTCCTTGAACTCTACTAGTACAAGCCCCATAGCAATTTTAGAGAAGGCTATTTATTTTTTCATCTTCAGATCCTATTCTAGTAATAATTAGTGCAGTGTTGAAATCTGCATTGCAGTTTTTCAGAATGTTCCTCCACCCCACCCGGCAAAAGAGGTTTTCTGCTTTTCTGTTTTATTCTCTGGGTGCTTCCTTCATAGTTGGAAGTGGCAGGAGGTCCACTCCCAGTGTCATTTTCAGTGAACCTCTTTCTACTGCTGTACTTTGCAACCTCCCTAACTGCTTTGCTTCCCCAGATTGAAAAAGCTGCATGGGAAGAGTTAATGGAAGCAGGGGGAGCCAGGGAGGCTGAAAGCTGATGAGCAGATGGTTGAAAAAGGACGGACAGCATTTTTGCGCACCTTCTCAGACATCCTGTCCCTGGCAAAGTGTAGAAACACCACACTCCGTCCTTAAGAATTCCTCTGAAATTCTCCCAATTTGTGAAATTAATTTCTGAAGTGAGCTCTCTTTCATCAGTTTGAAGGAGAATTGTTCCTAGAAGAATAGCTGTGCGTTGTCCAGGAATGCTGAAGTGGAGAGTTTCTGCTAAGCCAACTGTGGCCATTTCAAAGATGACCCAGTTTTTGCCTTCCACTTCAACAGCAGCCAGCATTCTATGGCCGCAGAAGTTGTTTGTATCCTCTTTATGCTGATCTTGGGGTCACATACCAGGACCATATTTCTCAAGTTGCTTTTGCCTTTCCTTGGTGAAGTTTTGAGGTCCCAAAGAATGGTTTTGCTTTGATAATTTAGGTCATTGCTTTTGATTTCAGCCCTGCCCTCAACAGTGAATGAATTATTCAACAGCAATCCAATGAAAGAGACATTTGAATCTTCCAAATGTTCTCAGATTAGGTCTCTGGAGAAAAATGGTCAAAATAACCACAACACAATTAGGGACTTTCCTAATTTGGTTTGCCAGCTTTGAGATACAGGAATTGTTTGAACAACACTTCAAGGAAACCCTTTCTTTTGACACCGGTTTCTGTGTCGCAATTCAGGCCCTATGTCCTTCCATTGCACACACTCATTCATGGAAATAATAGTGTATTCTTCTCCCCTTAACCCCCAGCCTGTGCTTTTATTCCTTCTGCTTTTAAGTGCTCAACCATGCTGAGTCTCCATTTCTGGAGCAGGCTCTGAGAAAGCTTTTCTGCAAATGGGAGAACATGTGCCTTTGATGAGTGTAAGAATGATGAAGTTGGGCACCCAGTGGGCACAAGAGGCTGAGTTTCAGAGGAAGCAGAAGTATAGAATGGCTGGGTTCACTCTTCATGAGCACGTCCACTTTGAAGAGTCTGGGTCATTCTGAAAACAAGTCTGACATCCCACTGGGTTGGCTGTATTTGAGCGCTGAGCTGATTTATTACTGACTCCAGTGTGGGGTATTTGAAACCATGATCAAACTATTCTTTAAATTGCAGCAGTTCTGTGGAGTTTGTGGGCAGTCTGTTTTCCAGTTTGCAGGGACTCCACATCCTGGGCTTAGGCCTTTGAAAGGGAAAAGGGACTTGATAGCTTTTCGGTTCTTCATCATCACAAGTGCTGGGAAATAGAGAGGCGGAGACAAATGCACATGACATGGAGTAAGGATATGGAAGGATGATTATATTTCTGTGAAACATTTATTTTATTCCCTTTTTAGGGGAGTGAAAATAAGAGGCTGTAGCTAGGAGAAGGACCGTAATTTTTGTTTTCCCAGCATTCTGACATCAGCAGATTTGAAGACAATCATAAATCATTTTGAAACTCTGTTTGAGGAATTAGAGTGTGAAAGTGGTGCTGGTGTATCCAGTTAAGCCATTGCTGGTTTTAATTATGGTTTGCTTCATAGTTCATATGAAGTTCATATACCATGCTAGGGCAAGAGTGATAACCCAAACTCTGTAAGAACCTACAGAATCTAGATTTTGATCCTGAACGTCCATTCTCCAATCTTACCAGATCTTCTGACCTTCCCTTTTGTACTAAAAAAATGAATTAAGGAAAAAAGGGACTATTTGCCAAATGCTGGTGAGTTAGTTGTAATAGGAGTTTAGAATGTGGCTTGACTGTAACACGGAACAGAAATAGAAAATTAAAAGAAGTTTCAAAACAGAATACAGGGCACCCTACTGCTTCTTATTCAGCATTTCTTATTTCCTCTTTCCAAAACTGCATAGCCAATAGTATTAGTATGATGGAATATCTGTCTGTCTGTCTGTCTGTCTGTCTGTCTGTCTATCTATCTATCTATCTATCTATCTATCTATCTATCTATCTTCCCATCTCCTAGCACTGATTCAGTTATCCAGGTGGGGGCTGCACTTTCACTTGTTGTATTCAAGCTGAAGCTGGGGATGAATATATCAGGAATGGTTTAATACCCACAATATTCAGAATCTTCTCTTCCCCCCCCCTTTTTTTTTTTTGCTTTGCACAGCAACTCAGTGACATTCATGTGACGATTCTCCATAAAGAAGAAGGGACCGGCCTTGGGTTCAGTTTGGCTGGTGGGATAGACCTTGAAAACAAAGCTGTTGTTGTAAGTAATCTGCTGGGTGGCTTATTTTATGGGAGGGCTTCCTGATACCCAAACCCTTTGTGAGTAGAATAATGTCAGTTTCCATCCCATATAGATTCTTTCATACTCAAGAGGAGGTTAGAACCCGGGTCTCCCCATTCCTAGTTCAGCATCTCAATCACTGTACCATACCAGCAGTTGGTCTTGTTGAGCACAATGAAGTTTAAACCAAGTGAAGTAAAATCATGCTCTGTGCTATCATGATATTGGCATCTCTTTTTTTTCTTTTTCTTTGTTTAATGTGTCCATTAGAACAATTTTCCCACTTATTTGTCACCACATGGACAAACTAAAAAACTTTCCTGTTTTCTAGGATCTTGCTATTACCTCTCTGGGTGCAAGGAAAGCGCCATAGTATTTTGTATTAGCACTGAGAAGAATATTACAAATTAATCCTATTTTTTAAATGCAAACTAGGGTTAATTTGCTGACCAGTACCCTATTTCTCAAACCCTACAATGTAATTTTTTTTTAAATCTCACCCACCTTACTTTTCACAATGTAAATGGAAGACTAACGCATGTACCACATTGAAAATGCTACTAAGAAAACATCCCGCCTATGTTTGCACCTGTGTGTCCTTCTGGATTTTGTAACAGGTTCACAGAGTCTTCCCCAATGGCCTGGCATCTCAGGAAGGAACTATACAGAAAGGCGATGAAGTCTTATCGATCAATGGAAAGTCTCTCAAGGGTGCCACTCACAGTGAAGCACTGGAGATCTTGCGAAAAGCACGTCATCTCAGCCTGGCAGTGATTGTCACACGAAAACCTAAAGACGGAGAATGGAGCACCCATGGCTCGCTTGAGTCGTCGGCATCAACAGGAAGCGAAACTTCAACAGATTCCAGTGAGTCTGAGTCCTGATGGTGGGAAAGCAAAAGGTGTTGGTGGTATAAAGAGGGGTTAATGTCAAATGGGGTGTCAGTCTATGCACCAAAGGTACCCTGATGCAATGCATAAAAAGTATCCCAAAACAATCTAGAGGAAGAAGTCGGTGGAGGAGGAAGTAGATTTTCTTTGCATAGAATTAGGGGAGTGGGGGAACAGACTGGGCATTTGAGAGAAAGAATGACATGGAGAAAATATTTTGCAGAAAAAATGGGAACCATAAACAAGTCATTCAATGAGACATTTGTTAGGAGGCTTCAGGTAGCTCTGAACATTTTGCGTGATTGCTCCCAGGCACAGTCGGCAATTTGTCTCTAAGATCGTTTGGAAAGACAAAGGCCCCAGTGAGCAGGGCAAGGATCCCAATGTATGAGACAGGATTTGGGAGGGGAGGAAGATTCCAAGATTTTAGGAGAGAACCTTCAAAATGTTCTCCCTTTTAAAACTATGTTATGGCTCTTTGGAGACTTCCATTATACTTTTCAAATTTCGCATTTCTAAATGGCAGGGAATTTTGCTGCCAAGATTTCAGCAATTTATAGCCAAAGGGAGCTCCAGGAGCTTCAAAAAAGAAAAAGGGGTTGGTTGGGGTCCCCATGAGGTCCTATGAGCTGTAACCATTCGCCCATGGCTTGATATCAAATCAGGTCATTATTCCTCTAAGCTAACTCTCTGAGATCCTGTTGCTGGCCCAGTACAGAACATGTCTCTCTCTACTACACTAAACCCCAACAAAACTCATTCCCCCTGACAATATTCTGTTTTGACCCAGCACCAGAAGAGCTGGTCTTCACTGTCACACTGGAGAAGACATCTGCGGGTTTAGGTTTCAGTCTGGAAGGAGGAAAAGGCTCCATTCATGGAGATAAGCCAATCACCATCAGTCGGCTTTTTAAAGGTATGGTGGAATGGTGGTTGTGCAACAGAGCACCCCGCTTTTGCAAACTGCAGATGCTGTCATGTCCAAGAGAAGTATATTTCCTTGCATATCCATGGCTAAACTAGAGGAGGCATTTAAACTTGTCTGGAAATGTGGAAGTGGAAATGTTAAACTGGAAACATGTGAATGGACTAGAACAGTTGGATGGTTACTTTGAGGAAAAGATACTTCATACACATTTTGCACAACCTGGCAAAACTGAAGGCCACAATGAATCAAACTCCCAACACAAAAAATGATTTCTGTGATACCACTTAGAGTTATTTCCATGTGAGCTGCATGTGAAAAAGTAAAGATACGTTGGTACACAGACTATTAATTTCCCATCCCTGTTCCTTCTATATTATCAAAGATATATTCCTGTTTTATTGTACAAGTATATTTAAATGTGCCCTTGATAATAAGTAGCATTTTATCTTATTCAATTTTTATGACAACAAATACAACTTTACTCCATTTCCTTCTCAGCCAGATGATGTATTTTAGATATTTTCATGGTCCTCACACCTTCTACTTTGATTATCTCTTATACATTTCCCTTGTTCTATTGTTTTGTGTCTTGTACTATTCTGTTACATTGACTGGTCATTGACCATAATAAGCAATAAATGAAATACATGTTGATATTTCTGAACAAAGGGAAACAACACTTGGCAATGTTTAAATTAAATCTGCAAAATGGATCTTATTGCACATAGAATCTTAAATCTAGAAGAACCATTCAGATTACTGAGTGCAACCTTTGCAGTAAACCCAAATTAAATCTAGCCTCTTTTCGACTGTACCCATGTCTTCTTCGTTCTCTCTCTGGGTAACAGTGCCAACCTCTTCTTCTTGCAATACGAGGACACACAAGTGGAGAATGAGTTTGCTATTATTGCACAGGATGATGATGATGATGATGATGATGATGATGATGATGATGATGATGATGATGATGATGATGATGATGATGATGATGATG